TTACTTATTTGAAAGGCTGATCCAGGAGCTGGAGCGTCGCCACATGGTGGTGACCGACACCCCCTCCCCAGCAGTAGCGGCGCAGACCAGCAGTGTTCCAGTGGTGGCTGGTACAACTGTGCAGCAACCGGAGAGCTCTGCGACTGAGCAGTCGGAGGAGGCAGTCAGTGTCAGCAGCGGCGAGACCTTTCAAGTGTGAGTATGAGTATCTTGGCTTTACAGCTTCATTGATAGCTTTTGCTCTTGCTTGAGAGCCAATTGAATGTGCAATTTTAAGACGAAATATGTTTTCCTCATGGCAGTACCCGGGAAGTGCAGTGGCCACAGACCTCCAGGCACATGATGCAGGAGAAGGGACTGTACCGGAAACATTCTCTGGACCATCCCCTCCTGAAGGGCTTCGCCACATACTTGGAGAAGGATCTCCTGAATGAGAATTTCAAGCAGGAGGTGAGGTCTCCCATAAAAGTTCACTCTATTATTATTTTTTTGAAGCTTTATATCTAAGCAATATATTCATTAAGTCATGCTGATTTTATTTTCCAGGTGGAAAACGTCAGCAGGTTCATGTTTTTTGTGAACCCCAAAGAGCCATCACTTGAATTTGTGAGAGAGAGGGAGAAGACGAAGCTCTTCTTTCGGGAGCTGACTGAGGCTGGTCTCTCCAGGCAGACTCAGGTCAACTACATGAAGAGCCTGAAGAGGTTGGTAGCATGTAGAAAAGTATATTTTAGGTTTGTGTTGTATTGTCGTATCTCTTTCTTCAAGGAAGTTCAGTCCTCCCGCTATTGTCATCCATATCCATATGGATAATTACATACCTGTCCTTCCTCTGACAGATTCCTCAAGTACCACACCGTGGCCACCGACCTCCGGCGTGACGACATTGCCTTGTGGAACGAGGCAAGGTTCTTCGTGGAGTACCTGGGCTCACTACAGCAGAGCTGTGCAAAGTTGGTGAGTAAGGAGATGACGCAAAGGAGGTAAGTTCAACTGTCAACACCCGTTAAATTCCATATCATGATTTGATTATACATCTCCTCTACCATGTTTAACACACTCAATGTTTTTTTTTTATCTCTCTCACTGCGCCTGGACTGTACTGCATGGAGAACCAGAGCCATTTTACACTGTGAGCACATTTTATTAAAATGTGTACTGTATTGATTAGGATTGACAGTAATTGAATTTTCTTCTCCCCCCCCCCACATAGGCATGCCATTCTGATGGAGAAGAACCCACTAACTCCAGAGGACTGCTGGGCCGTGCTGAGGGCTGCCAAGAATGACTTCTTGGCAGTCCTTGGCAAGGTGTATCCGAAGGAAAGCCCCCTGGAGTCTACAGAGTGCTGCCTTGTCCTGTACTACCTGGAGGCCACGGTCATTCTAAAGCATCTCCAACGACCAGGCGTGGTGGAGCACATGACCGTAAGTATTGTATTCTTTTTGTCTTCACTTTTCCTTTTTGCCGATACTCTTATTGATCAGTGGGACATCATTGTATTGTGCAGGTCCAGGAGTGGATGACCAGGAACACGTCCAGGTCCGGCCATGCGGTGATTGGGGTGAAGGAGCATAAGACGTCGGCGCAGCAAGTGGCCACGTTTGCACTGTCCTCTGAGGAGGAGACGGTAAGTAAATTAAGTTTGATAAGATTTATTTCATAGTTTATTTCAAGAGCAGCGATTTAATCTGTTTTCCTCTGCCAACAGTGGTTCGACATCTACTT